AAAGTCCATCTTTACCTTTTATTGGATCGCGGTCGACCGTGACAGTCGATCATGGCTCATCCAGAGACTTTCGCGGTCGACCGTCTGTGTTTCAAAGCTGTTTGAACTGTTCTTTGTGCTTCGCGGTCGACCGTCAGTTTCTCAAGGTCGACCGCCGTATAAATGATTGTGTTGCAACGACTATATTCTGATTTGATTCTCTGGGGGTATTTTGGTCTTTTCAATGTTGTTTTGGCTGATGTCTTGAGTGGGTATAAATATCCCATTGTTTTCTTCTTTCTATATACCAAGAGTTTGTTTTAGAGTGAGTTTTTAACAAAAGATTAAGAGCTGTTTAAGAGCTGTTTAAGCTGATTTTGGTTGTCTGTTTCAAAAGAAGTTTTCTACAACAATAAGAGGCTTTCAATTCCAACCGAGGATCCTATCCTCATCATCATCTACTATTCTTCTTGTTTATTGAGAAGTTTTCTAAACTCTTTCTTATATAGCTTATTGATTCATTTTCATAACTTAGCTATATTTAAATTGAGTTGCATATTTTCTATTCACTGTTATCACATACACTGTATTGAGCTTATAATATTTCCATACTATATATTGTTGGGTAGTGGTGTGTGATTTAGTGAGAGTGAGCTTCATTATGTTCTCATTTGTTATCGAGAACAAATCATTGTATTTAACCATTATTATGAGTATCACTTGCAATAGGAGTGGCGTCGGTTGACGAACCTAGGGAGAGGTTGTATCCGAGCACTTAAGGAGGAGGACACGGGCTAGGTTCCTACACTTAGTGTGTAAAGTGTGATTGTATAGTATTTGTTGTGTGAGAGTTTTCGGTAAACTTGTAAACCGAGTGTGTTGAAGTTCCGTCTTCCAAGCCGGATTGTGATAGTGGAGATCTCCTCGAGGTGAGGAGCGGGGACGTAGGTCGTGGTGACCGAACCTCGTAAATATATCGTGTGTTTGTGTTTTGCTTAGCGTATATTTTTATTTGTGCTTATTCCTATCTTTCTTGTTCATATCCATCTCATATATTTCTTACAAGAATAAATTAATCAATATAATTTTAATTGGAAGTTAATCGGGATTAGATTAGAATAAGACCATAATCAACCCCCTCTAGGGTCTAACAAGTGTCTCAGCCAGCTGAGACACAAACTGTGTCTCGGCACACAAAGTCT